TCCTTTCTCTCTCTCTCTCTCTCTCTCTCTCTCTCTCTCTCTCTCTCTCTCTCTCTCTCTCTCTCTCTCTCTCTCTCTCTCTCTCTCTCTCTCTCTCCTTTCTCTCTCTCTCTCTCTCTCTCTCCTTTCTCTCTCTCTCTCTCTCTCTCTCCTTCTCTCTCTCTCTCTCTCTCTCTCTCTCTCTCTCTCTCTCTCTCTCTCTCTCTCTCTCTCTCCTCTCTCTCTCTCTCTCTCTCTCTCTCTCTCTCTCTCTCTCTCTCTCTCTCTCTCTCTCTCTCTCTCTCTCTCTCTCTCTCTCTCTCTCTCTCTCTCTCTCTCTCTCTCTCTCTCTCTCTCTCTCTCTCTCTCTCTCCTTCTCTCTCTCTCTCTCTCTCTCTCTCTCTCTCTCTCTCTCTCTCTCTCTCTCTCTCTCTCTCCTCTCTCCCTCTCTCCTCTGTCTCTCCTTCTCTCTCTCTCTCTTCTCTCCTTTTCTCTCTCTTCTTCTCTCTCCCTCCTTTCTCTCTCTCCTTTTCTCTCCCTCCTTTCTCTCTCACCTTCTCTCCCTCCTCTCTCTCTCCATGGCAAGAGCCTTGGCCTCCGTTCTGTTGGCTGGCGCGTCATGCTTTCGCGTCAAGAAGCAAGGTCTGTGGCTTCAGCGCCGACGTCACTGGGCCGCGAGCTGACGTCCTCGCTGACAGGACTCCGCCGGGGTACGCGGGGCAGAGGGGCGGGGGGGGGGGGGTTGTCACCGACGTGGGGCCAAGCAAGCCAGCTGCTTCGGGGAGGATTAGGCGAAAGCGGCGACAGGTGGGGGGGGGGGGGGGGGGTCGTGTCGCAGAAGATTACACGAGAAGGTCGTGTCGTGTCGGGGGGAGGGGGGGTGCCAGTTTTGTCTTGTTTGTTTTGTTTGTTTGATTGTTGAAAGCATGACGGGAAAGAATTGTGCCTCGGTAACCACGGGTCTTCCATTCGATGCTATGCCCATTCTACGGGTCTTCTGTTCATATATCCACCTCCTGAATATTATGTACACATTTGAGGGAGAATGAGAGAGAGAGAGAGAGAGAGAGAGAGAGAGAGAGAGAGAGAGAGAGAGAGAGAGAGAGAAACAAGAGTTTCTTCCATGTTTCTATATCTATCTCGCAGCCAAATTCCCCACTCATTCAGCTCCCCCCCCCCCCCTTCCGCCCCCACTAACCGGCCTCCTCCCGCAGATGGACTCGAGCACGTGCCTGGAGCTGGCGCTGGAGGGCGAGCGCCTGTGCAAGGCGGGCGACTGCCGCGCGGGCGTGGCGTTCTTCGAGGCCGCCATCCAGACGGGCACGGACGACCTGCGCACGCTCTCCGCCATCTACTCGCAGCTGGGCAACGCCTACTTCTACCTGGGCGAGTATGACAAGGCCATGGAGTTCCACAAGCTCGACCTCACCGTCGCCAGGTGGGAACGCGCGCTCGGCCTCGGCTTGAGGGTCATTGCCTCGGCTCCTGGGTTGTCATCAGGGCTGGCCCAGGAGCGTGTTAAGGCCTCGCGGTCATGGGCAGCAGTGCTATTGTTGTTATTATGGCTTGTTATAATTATTGTCATCGTTATCATCATCATTATTATTAGTAGTAGTAGTAGTAGTAGTAGTAGTATTGCTAAAGTGATCATCATCATCATAATTATAATAATTATCAGTTGATATTGTTGTTGATATTATTATTCTATTTATTGTTATTATTTTTTTAATGATATCATCATCACCACCATCACTGTTATTGTTATTATTATTATTATTATTATTATTATTATTATTATTTTATTTATTATTATTATTATTATTTTATTATTATTTTATTATTATTATCATTATTATTTTATGATCGTTTTATTATTATTATTATAATTGTTATTATTATCATTATTATTATTATTATTGTCATTATTGTTATTATTATTATTATTATTATTATTATTATTATTATTATTATTATAATATAGAGAAAGATGATGATGAAGAGGAGGAGGAGGGGGAGAAGAGGAAGAAGAAGAAGAAGGGAGGAAGAGGAAGAGGAGGAAAAAGAAAAAAATAGACGAAGGAGAGGGGAAGAAGAGGAAGAGGATGATGATGATAATGATAATAATGATAAGAGAGAGAGAGAGGGGAAAGCGAGAGAGGGAGAAAGGGGGGGGGGTAGGGCGGCAGCGAGAGAGAGAGAGAGAGAGGGAGGAAGCAAGAAAGAGAGAGAGAGAGAGAAAGATAGAAAGAGAGAGAGAGGGGGGGGGGCAAGAGAGAGAGAGGGGGGGAGGGAGGAAAGCAAAAGAGAAAGAGAGAGAGAGAGAGGGGGGGAGGAGAGAGAGAGAGAGAGGAAAGAGAGAGAGAGGAGAGAGAGAGGAAAGAGAGAGGAGAGGGATAGAGTGGAGGTGGAGGTAAGGAGGGAGGGAGAGGGAGAAAGAGAGAGAGAGAGAGAGAGAGAGAGAGAGAGAGAGAGAGAGAGAGAGAGAGAGAGAGAGAGAGAGAGAGAGAGAGAGAGAGAGGAAAGCAAAAGAAGAGGAAAGAGGGAAAGGGAAGAGGAAGAGGGAGAGGAAGAGGAAGAGGAGAGGGAAGAGGAAGAGGGAGAGGGAAGAGGAAGAGAGAGAGAGAAAAGAGGAAGAGAGAGAGAGAGAGAAGAGGAAGAGAGAGAGAGAGAGAAGAGGAAGAGAGAGAGAGAGAGAAGAGGAAGAGAGAGAGAGAGAGAAGAGGAAGAGAGAGAGAGAGAGAAGAGGAAGAAGAGAGAGAGAAGAGGAGAGAGAGAGCGAGAGAGAGAGAGGAAGAGAGAGAGAGGAGAGAAGAGGAAGAGAGAGAGAGAAGAAGAGGAAGAGAGAGAGAGAGAGAAGAGGAAGAGAGTAGAGAGAGAGAAGAGAGAGAGAGGGAGAGGAAGAGGACGAGAGAGAGAGAGAGAGAGGAGGAGAGAGGAGAGAGAAGAGAAGAGAGAGAGAGAGCGAAGGGAAGGGAGGGGAAGAGAGAGCGAGAGAGAAGAGGAAGAGAGAGAGAGAGAGGAAGAGGAAGAGAGAGGGAGAGAGAGAGAGAGTGAAGAGGAGACGAGAGAGAGAGAGAGAAGAGGACGAGACGGAGAGAGAGAGAAGAGGAAGAGAGAGAGAGAGAGAAGAGGAAGAGAGAGAGAGAGAGAAGAGGAAGGAGAGAGAGAGAGAAGAGGAATGAGAGAGAGAGAGAGAGAGGAGCGAGAGAGAGAGAGAAGAGAAGAGGAGAGAGAGCGAGTAGAGGAATGAGAGAGAGAGAGAGAAGAAGGAAGAGGAGAGAGAAGAGGAAGAGGGAGGAGCGAGAGGAAGAGGGAGAGAGAAGAGTGAAGAGGGAGAGAGAAGAGGAAGAGAGGAGCGAGAAGAGATAGAGAGAGAAGAGCAGAGGACGAGAGAGAGAGAGAGAGAGAGAAGAGGAAGAGAGAGAGAGAGAGTAGAGGAAGAGAGAGAGAGAGAGAAGAGGAAGAGGGAGAGAGAAGAGGAAGAGGGAGAGAGAAGAGGAAGAGGGAGAGAGAAGAGGAAGAGGGAGAGAGAAGAGGAAGAGAGAGAGAGAAGAGGAAGAGAGAGAGAGAAGAGGAAGAGAGAGAGAGAAGAGGAAGAGAGAGAGAAAGAGAGAAGAGAGAGAGAAAGAGAGAAGAGAGAGAGAAAGAGAGAAGAGAGAGAGAAAGAGAGAGAGAAAGAGAGAAGAGAAAGAGAAAGAGAAAGAGAGAGAGAGAGAGAGAGAGAGAGAGAGAGAGAGAGAGAGAGAGAGAGAGAGAGAGAGAGAGAGAGAGAGAGAGAGAGAGAGAGGAAAGCAAGAGAAGAGGAAAGAGGAAAGGGAAGAGGAAGAGGGAAGAGGAAGAGGGAGAGGGAAGAGGAAGAGAGAGAGAGAGAGAAGAGGAAGAGAGAGGGAGAGAGAAGAGGAAGAGAGAGGGAGAGAGAAGAGGAAGAGAGAGAGAGAGAGAAGAGGAAGAGAGAGAGAGAGAGAAGAGGAAGAGAGAGAGAGAAAGAGAGAAGAGAGAGAGAAGAGGGAGAGAGAGAGAGAGAAAGGGTGAGTGAGAGAGAGAGAAAGACTGACTGACTGAGTAAGAGAGAGAGAGAGAGTGTGAGTGTGAGTGTGAGTGAGTGAGTGAGAGAGAGAGAAAGACTGACTGACTGAGTGAGAGAGAGAGAGAGAGAGTGTGTGAGTGTGAGTGAGTGAGAGAGAAAGGGTGAGTGAGTGAGAGATGGGATGGCGTTAGGAAAGAGGATAGGGGGGGGGTGATGATGTCCCAGCTGCTGGCCTCTCTCGGCCTCCGTGATGCCATTAGGCTAACCAAATTTGTACTGCGCTAATCGGCAACTGAACGCTCCTCCCGCAGGTGCTCCGCCCTAGCCCCCCCCCCCCTCATCGGGTTCCTCCTGTGCTTCCTCTCGTTACTCCTCTTCCCTCTTCTTCCCTCCTCTTGGCGCCTCGCCCCCTGCCCTCCACCTCCTCCTCCTCCTCCTCCTCTTCCTCCTCCTCTTCCTCCTCCTCTTTCCACCTCTCTCCTTCCCTTTCCATCTTTTCGTCTTCTACTTCCTTTCTCTCCTTCTCTTCCTCCCCCTCCTTCCCCTCCCATACCCCCTCCCCCTGTACTCCACGGTGATTTATCAATGAATGTTTGGTTGGGATGGAGGGGGGGGAGGGGGGAGGGGGGAGGGGGAGTCGCTGGCCGCCACGTGAGTGTCGCGAACTTTTGCAAATGATCCCTAACGAAGTACTTAACTAATGCCAAATTAGATCGGTTCGGCTGATTAGTTCAGAATGAGGTGGATGCACGCGTTTATGGGGCGCAGAGGCAGGGGGGGGGTCGAGTGGCAACTGCCTTGAGGGTTGTGTTGATGCGGGTCTTGCTGGTTGTGCTTGGGTGGAGGGGGTGGAGGGGGTGCCGTCAGGGTCGCTCGAACTTGCTTACACACAGATTGATGCCTAGATGGATGTGCCTCTACGCTCTCTCTCTCCTCCTCGCTATACACATATTTATAAGAAGAGTTGCAAGCACACACGCAAACACAATGTATGTATTTATTCCTGGAATTCATACCTATCCTAATGTGTTCTTGGCTCATTTCTTTTAACCCAATGGTGCCGGGGAAAATGAACAAAGAATGGGGAAAATATTGTGCCCACTTTCTATGTTTTTCGTGAAATGTCTGCCGATAGATGGCTCTGCTAGTGCCTGATTTAAATGGCGGGTAAAACGTATTTTTCACTAATGCTATGAAAATCGATGGTGTTATTTTTATCATAAACATTATAATTTTTATATATTTTTTTTAACATTAGTAACAGCAAAATAAGATTACGTAAAATATTTTGTAAATCAAAGAAACGGGTAAACGGGCGAGACGGGCGGTGCTCGTAACTGGCTCATTGGGGAGTTAGTACAAATGTTGCCATCTATGCGTAAAAACAATCAAACAAGTACTTACGGTGGGCATAGCACGTACGTACACGTCATACCCGGCACCAAGGGGTTAAGTCATTCACTTATTCCTGCACGCGCTTATATGTTAATTACACGTGGCCGTGTGCCGGCGGGCTCGGCGCCCAGCGTGCCAATTTCCGCGCCCGCCAAGGCCCTTCCCGAGAGCACATTAGCGCGCGGTATTAGGTTAAGAGTAATTAATCCTGTTTTGGGCGTGAGCGCCGCCCACCCGCGCCGGGGGGGGGGGGACTGGCCTTCCCTTTTGGAAATGAGCTCTGGCCGAGGGCGGGATGAGGGGTGGGAAACACTGCCAAGCAGGTAGTAAGGCCGATAAGATACACTCATACACACATACATATATACATATGAGTATAGGCAGATAGATATGTATGCATGTATATGTATATATAGATGTAAATATAGATTATATAAATGATATGTATATTATATGTATTTTATCTATATTACATACATTATATATATTACACACACACACACACACACACACACACACACACACACACACACACACACACACACACACACACACACACACACATACACACACACACACACATACACACACACGCACACGCACACGCACACACATACACATACACACACATACACACACATACACACACATATATATGTGTGTGTGTATGTGTGTGTATATATATATATATATATATATATATATATATATATATATATATATATATTATAGTTTTTTTTGTGTGTAATGTGAATTGAGGATGAGGTTTATCCAAGCTGTCAAGGAGGAAGAGCAAGAGGAGGAGAATGGGAGTGTAGGACTAAGAGGAAACGGAAACGCAGGAGGAGGAGGAGGAGGAGAAGATAGACAAGAACCTAAGAGAGAAAGAGAAGTCAGAGGGAGAGATGCAGACAAAACTCTACGGGGGCGGTCTCCACATTTCACTACCGACAGCATGCTCACGCTGACCAAAAAACGCTTATATTTTTCCGCGCGAGTTCCCTCGAAAAATAGCGAGTGTTCGCGGTGCGGAAAAGGCGGCGGCTGCAAGTTTATTCGGGAAAAAAAGATGATAAGGGACGAACTGGAAGTTTCTCTCCTTCCTTGGGCGGAGTGGAAGGGCGGGCGGAAAAAGGGGGGAGGGTAAAGGTGAGGGAGAAGGAGAGGGAAAAGGGAGAGGGAAAAGGAGAGGAGAGAAGAGAGAGGGAGAAGGAGAGGAGAGAAGGGAGAGGGAGAAGGAGAGGAGAGAAGAGAGAGGGAGAAGGAGAGGAGAGAAGAGAGAGGGAGAAGGAGAGGAGAGAAGAGAGAGGGAGAAGGAGAGAAGGGAGAGGGAGAAGGAGAGGAGAGAAGGGAGAGGGAGAAGGAGAGGAGAGAAGGGAGAGGGAAAAGGAGAGAAAGAATAAGAAGGGGAAGGAGAGAGAAAGAGAACAATAAGTATGAAGGAGGAAGGGAGAGAGAGAAAAAAGAAAAGTTCCGACCGAAGTATTCGCATTGAAGTGCTGTCGGCATTTTGAAATACGATCACCATTGTGAATTTTTGGCTTCGGATTTAATGAAGCCTATTGTGCTGTTGCGTACTGAAGGGGGGGGGGGGCTGCATAGGGGTTGAGGACAGGGAGAGAAAGGGAGGAAGGGAGAGGGAGAGGGAGAAGGAGATAGAAAGGGAGAGAAAGATAGAGAGAAAGGGAGAGGGAGAAGGAGATAGAGAGAAAGGGAGAGGGAGATAGAAAGGGAGAGGGAGAGGGAGATAGAGAGAAAGGGAGAGGGAGAAGGAGATAGAGAGAAAGGGAGAGGGAGAGTGAGATAGAGAGAAAGGGAGAGGGAGAAGGAGATAGAGAGAAAGGGAGAGGGAGAGTGAGATAGAGAGAAAGGGAGAGGGAGAAGGAGATAGAGAGAAAGGGAGAGGGAGAGGGAGATAGAGAGAAAGGGAGAGGGAGAGGGAGATAGAGAGAAAGGGAGAGGGAGAAGGAGATAGAGAGAGAGGGAGAGTGAGAGGGAGAAGGAAAGGGGGATAGAAAAAGAGAAAGAGAGGGAGATAGAAAAAGAGAAGGAGAGGGAGATAGAGAGAGAGGGAAAGGGAGAGGGAGATAGAGAGAGAG